GTCCAATTACTGGTTGGTAAAATATGTAAATTTCTATTATTCCTTAAATCATCATTTTTATTGTATTAATAGTTAGATAAAGAATAGTGTTATTTAATTTTCTTTATAAAAAAATCTTTGGTTGGGTTTGAATAGTTATTGGATAGGTGTCCAATAACTGTATTTCTAGTGTCCAATAACTATAATTTATTATAACAGTAATTCTGTTTGTCTAAGTGGGTTGTGCAATCAGTTAAAAATTTAGGTCATCTCCATCCAAACGCCACAAGAATTCTTCAACCGGCCGATGTATCGTGAATGTATTGAATAAAGTAACGTTTGCACCACCAAAAAATATTAGATATATAAATCATCCTGTTCCGGCCTAAACATTATAAATGCTTCACAAACTAGAGATACCACACTTAATGATATTTGCAACAAACTATTTCAGAAGTCAGAACAAGGAATTAGTATTAACCTTCAGAATCCAGAAATATGTCGTAAGAGAAGAAAAATTCAGAGATTTCCATTTGCTACCACTTATAGAGAATAAATAAATGCAAACATATACCGGAAGAATTGAAAGATGTAATGATAATGATAATTCTAATGGAAGTGAAGAATTTTTCTGATGCAGAACTGAATGAGGAATCCGAGAAAGAAATAGATAAATTATATGATACTTACAAAAACGATGCAAAACGAGATGAGGAATTCGAGAAAGAAATATATGAATTATAGGATAAAATAAAAAAATTATCATAAACAGCAATTTATCTTTAAAAAATATTTGTCATTTTATGTTATTTTATGTAAAGTTGCTATGTCTATATAAAAATTGTATGTCCAATAAATTTGTTCCTTGTGTCCAATTACTATATAAAATGTCCAATTACTATACTTTTTTGCATGTTTTTATAAATACATTAAAAAATAAAATATTCTTATTTTTAAGTAGGTAAACGTAAATAAAGTTTAATCAAACAAACTACCTATCCTTTTTATATATTTATAAGAAAAAAACTAAAATCTTTAAAACAACCGCATATATAAATTTTAAATAAATAATATTTCTTCAGTGTCAAATAACTATGTGGTTTACCCTACCTACCTACATATTTTATTTGATCAAAAAATAAAATTACTTTTATGGTGTTTTTTGGTAGACCCTGTATAAAAAACTAAATGTGTAGGTAGGATAATATAAAAATACATTAAAATTAAATATTTTTTTAAAGCGTAATAAAATTCTATAAATAATTATTTATTTAATAAATAATACATATATTAGCACTTAAAAATGGTGATATTTATTTTATTTTTAATTGGCGAGAGCGGATTTTTAGGACCTCCAATTAAACAATAATTGCGCATAAATAAAAAGTGGGACACGGAATTGCGAATTGCCGGGGCCCCCATTGGCCGCCGATCAACAATACGTCACGCCCATGTGGGGGCAGTGGGCGCGGCCCCATCTTTTCGAATAACCTCGAACTGCTTTTAATTACACTTACTTAGGTATATGTTACAAGTATGTACTGTAGGTAATTCCATTCCGCCATAAATGGACATCGAGGACACACTTCCGTCTCTTGGTCACTGCAAATCTTACAACAAATCTTACTCAAGATAAAATACATGTTAGTACAAAAAAGTATTTTTTTATTTAAAAACATAAAGTTTTATTTAAAAATGTCTTTTTAAGAAGAACATAATACCTATATGTTATTAGTATAATAACATATGTTATTGTATATATATGCCATATGGGTGGTTTTCAGTAACTTTTAAGATACCATGTCCCTGGGGTATTAAAACTAAAACCTTTATATTAGCCATCATTTTTTTTTTACATTTTACTAGGCACTGTCTAGTAGACAGGCATATTTTTTATCGATTTATAATACCAAAAGTTTAATACCCTATGAATTTATTTGTTAATTTTGGTTTTAAAACTCCACATGACCGTCGTATGTCCCTAGAGCAAAATATTTGCGAAATATTTAAAGTTCCTGTAATGTATTTTGATATATAGTTAGTTCTTCGTATTTTGTTTATTAACATGACCGTCTATAGTGATAAAATAGCAACATAAATGGCAGTGGCAGCTGGTGAATTTTGGGTATACCAATATTTCAGTTAGGTATTCAGAATTTAAATTGAAGTTTGCGAAAAAAAGTTAGTTTTTCCTGTCGCCTCACCCGCCTCCAGGCCCCCCTATTTAAGATAATTCAAATTAAAGTGGTGCAATTTATTATCTACTATAATTTATTAAAAAATTTAAAATTTATCAAAAAAATCCAAATATTACAGGTTTTATACCATTTTAAATATTTTTTTAATTTTAATAAAATAAATATTAAAAATTTAAAATCGAATAAAATCTGTAATATTTGGATTTTATAAATAAAATTTTAAATTTGTCGATAAATAATGGTAGAAAATAAATTGCATCACTTTAATTTGAATTATCTCAAATAGGGAGGCCTGGAGGCAGGGCCGGCTTAAGGCAATCCAGCGCCTTAGGCACTTAAAAATTTGGCGCCTATTACCAGAGATATCTATAGTATACTATACTTACTTACTTACCTTATTATCCCTTATAAATAAAAATATTTTTTATTAAAAAAATACATATAAAACATAATTTAATAATGTTTAAGACGAGTTATTGTTTTAGACATATTTTGATTTAGTCTTAAAATGAATAAGTCAAAAATGACTAATTATAAGTCATATTTGAATTATTGTCATAGCGACAAAGCAGTCACTAATAATTATTAGCAGTCACTAATTATAATTAGTCAAATTCTACGGAATGAAACAGTCAAATTAGTAGACGCACCTCTGCTACTTATTAAATTTATGATATCTGTCAATAAATATTGTTAAAGTTGAATATATTTTTTGTGTTGGAGCTAAACTTTTTGCATCTTTATTTTTATGGACCATGGAGCCTATATATATATATATATATATATATAATATATATATATATATATATATATATATATAGGCTCCATGGTCCATAAAAATAAAAATGCATATATATTATATATGCATTTAACGCCGCAAGAATTCAAAACGATTAAAGAAATCAGTTACTTATTACTCTCAGTAACAGTAAAATATGGCGACTTATCTTAAATTAGTCAAACTTTAACTAATTAAGTATACTATAGTAAAAAATAAATATTTAAAAGTAAAAACGACTATTTAATTAGTAAACAATGCTGATACTAATTCAAATAGTAGAATTTTTACTATTTCATTTCAAGAGAGTAAATAACCATATTTGGTAAATTATAATTATATATATATATTATATATATATATTATATTATATATTATATATATTTGGTAAATTATAATTATATTATATTATAATTATATTATATATTATATATATATATATATATATATATATATATATATAATTATATTATATAATATAATTATATATTATATATATATATAATTATATTATATATATATATAATTATATATATATATATATATATATATATATATATATATATATATATAATTATATTATATATTATATATATTTGGTAAATTATAATTATATAATTATAATATATAATATAATATATATAATATATATATATATATATATATATATTATATATATAATATAATATATATATATATATATATATATATATATATATATATATATATATAATATATATTATAATTATATAATTAATTATATAATTAATTATATAATTAATTATATTTGGTAAATTATAATTATATATATATAAATAATATAAGTAGTTTAAATAAACTTAAATTGACTTAAGAGTTAAAAAAAAAGTTAAAAAAGGGTAAAATAAACCAAAAACTATCAAATATTAACTTCTTTTTAACCAAAGTTAACCAAGAAGTTAAGTTTAACTATCATAACGTTAATTTTACCATAATTAATTTCTCCACTTATTACAAAATAACATTAATTTAACCAGTGGTGCTACTTGGGTAGTAAGTATTTAAAAAATGTAAAACAGCTTTAATTCCCTGTATTTTTATGTAAGGCATTACACCGCGTTATTACAAAGGAAGCCGATGTTTTATAAAATAATAAAAACAGTAAAGAATATTCGGTGCTCCACCGTTCTCATAATTGTATATAAATTATTTGCTTTATTTTTTGGAAAAATAAACCATTTGGTAACAATTTTTTTAAGTTGGTTGGGGACAATGCGCCTATTTTTTTGTGGCGCCTAAGGCAATTGCCTTGCCTGCCTAATGGGTAATATGGCCCTGCCTGGAGGCGGGTGAGGCGACAGGAAAAACTAACTTTTTTTCGCAAAATTCAATTTAAATTCTGTTTGCGCCGAACTTGTTTATTTAATGTCATTATAAACTATTACAAATTTGGTGTGGGTTCCATGTCTAATACCTAACTGAGATATTGGTATACATAAAATCCACCAGCCGCCACTGATAAATGGTTACAAATTGCTCGCCATGTTTTTTTTGTTGTCGGTTATTTACCGGTGGAAAATAAAAATGAGTGAAATCACATGAAAAAAAAGTATGCGACGGTCATGTTAAAAATTTGTTTATTTTTTATTTAAAACCCTTCCAAGTTTTATTTTTATGCACATAACGCACTTTCTTTATCATTCTGTTTTTACATTTATTAAATATTTTTTTAATTTAAAATTTTATTGGTTTAAAATTTTCCCAACTAAAAAACTAAAAGTTCACTTCTGTATTAAACAATAATATTTGCAATAAATTTTTGCAAAAATTTCCAACTTTCATTTTTTAATAAAAATACTTTCTTTTCTGGCAATAAATTTTAACTTAATGCAATCGCTTCAGCACAAATATTTTCTTTTATATCTTCGTTTTTTTAACGAATTTTATAAATAAACAACCGTTACCAATACCTATCAAAGCCCAGTTTTCATTGGTTTTGCTAATTTGACGTTTTTTAAATTTTACATGACATTTAAATTGACACTGTCAAATTCTAACAAAACCTTGGAAAATTTCATGTTCCTTTATAATTGTCAAATATTTAATTGTTTTTAATTCTGTCCATGTTTGTTAGTAAAATGATTTTTTAAATGGCTCAAAACAAACCTGGAATTAAAGATGCGGTTGCTAAAGAATACCTCTCAAAAAAACAATGGGAATTTAAATATGGAGATCTTCAAAAATGCTATATGTAAGTAAAATTTTTTATTGTTTAAATTGGTCATTGTAACAGTGGATATATGCTTTTTTGTTTATTGATTTATGTACAATACAAAAAAACTGGTATGCTGATGCGCATTATTGTATTTTATCTGTAGATTTGTATACAAAAAATAATAGTTGTGCAAACATAATCAACATTTTTATATTTGAACTGCATTTTGAAATAGTTAAGGACAAAATATATCCACGAATTCATGGCAACAAAATATTATAAATTATATAATACCTGTTTTTGGTCTTTTACCGTTGAGTGAAAACAACGCTTTTAATAATTCAAAATGATGTCTGCATTGATGACGGCCACCTAGTGGCGCCACTAGCGATGCTTATTTAACGTACCTACATATGGGTGATTCTACAAAAGTTGGACAACTTGATGTCATCAGTCAATAGAGTAGGTATTTTAATATTTTTTGTAAATATTTCAGTATATTACAAAAGATCCAGGTTTTTTAACTTGTCCACCCAATTTTAATGTATTTTTTCAAAAGCACGTTTGTAGAAAAACATAATAAATATTCAAAACTTCAGTACCTTGGCGTGTCACAACTCCTGAATCAAATATTTGAGTAGGTAATTTTATTTTAAAATATATTCAATTTATCTTAAATTTTTCAATTTCACTACAAACTATAAAACATTAAATAATGTATTTTTCATATTTTATCATGGATTCAAATAATAGCAATTTTTAAAAAATTGATAATCTTTGTCCTCACTTTTAACCGTCAGTTCTGTGTCCAATGTTAAAATTCAAAATTTCTGCGAAATATTAAAGTTTAAACGTCAAGTCCTCGTTTTAACTCAAGTGTTGGTAAAAATTACCTACAGAGCCCGCCCTTTGCACGACAGTCATCTTGAAAACAATGCAAGCGGCGAAGTTGTGGTGAATGCACGTATAGTTTCAGTCAAAATTTCACTACTGTGGTGAGTAGTTATTTTCTTACGTATATATATTTCATTGTAATTTATATATTTGTATAAGGCTACATGTGATTTGTTGATAAGTAGCATCCACTAATAAAAAATAACAGTAAAATACTTCCGAATTATAATGTCAAATTTGTATCCGTGTCGTGAGTTCCATGTTCGATGTTTCGGATATCTTTTTTTGGCAAACTTTAATTTAAATCCTGCTTACGCAGAACTTTATTTAATGTCAATATAAACTCATATAAATTTGGTGTGGGTCCCATATCTAATAATTGAGATATCGCTATAACCAAAATCCACCAGCCGCCACTGATGTGTGGTATTATTTGATTTTAAGATATTTAAAGTATAATATGCTCATAGTTGCAATAAATCTTATATTTTCCAATAAATTATGTATTTAATTAGTACCCTGGTATACTCGTCACTTCCCTTGCATTCAAATTTAGAAAATTTAGATATTTCAGAAACTGTTTGAAAAAGTGACTGGCCCGGTCTGGAAGAGTATATTTATTATATTATCCATGTTCTCATAACAACATACTGTTTAATTTTCTCCGAAAACTATATAAACAAAGAGAGGTCAAAAGTTGCCCAACTTTTGTAGAATCACTCATATATTAATCCAACTAAAACAAACCTTTTTGATACATTATTATCATGCTTTTAGAAAGTTACAAGATGATTTAAAGGAAATATCGAATAAATCGGGTTACTTAAACTTAATCAGAAAACAGAAGGAACAAGATAATCGACAAATTAAAATTCCACCCACCACCAATGGAATGTATGGGTTACTTGCAAAAAGAAAGGATTTTAAATACCTCGACTGTCCGGATATTTATGAAAATCTACCACTACCAAAAGAGTATCACCTTGTAGAAAAAAATTAAATAATGTTTTTCACTTATTTTTTTTCATCATTTGTTAATAGTGAATTGTTAAAAATCTTGTAGGTACCACAATTGGTTAAATTAACGTTAAATTTACGTAATGCCTGGTTAATTCATTTAAGTAATATTGTACTACAACGTTTAATTAACTTTGTTTTATAAAAAGTGGGAAATTCAATTATGGTAAAATTAATGTTATGTTAGTTAAATTTAATTTCTTGGTTAATGTACCTTTTGGTTAAAAGGAAGGTAATGTTTGGTAGTTTTTGGTTTATTTTACCCTTTTTTAACTACTTTTTAACTCTTAAGTCAACTTAAACTTTTATTAACCGTTTTAAGTTTAGTTTAACTCTATATAATTATAATTTACCAAATATATATTATAATAACATGTTGTATGTAATACACCTCGTTATATCAATTTTTAGGTTAGATATATCTTTTCTCTTTAAAGTTATGTTATTAATAATTATGCTTGATTGTTTGAGTTATTTATTTTTCTCTAACCACCCGACTGTAGAAAAAACGTAATTAGATGAAATTTTACTGATAAACAATTGAAAATCATCGTTTATAAAAAGTTTGATACGAAAATCCTAAAAATTTCATAAATATATATCTCAACAAATATCAATCTTAGCGATTCAACTGATAGGACCTTTTTAAAAAAAAATTAAATTTTCTACAAGTTCATTGTTCTTTACATTTTTTCAAAGAATCCAGTCACTTTTGAAATATCTTCAAAAATATGATAATTTTTCACTAAAATAAGATTTAGTGACCCGTACCATCCTAGAGGTGCAGATTACAGCTATGGCACATAAAGCATTTTTGTAGAACTTTTTGAAACAATCCAATAGCATAAAATGCGGCTGAGATATAGATATTTAAAAAAAATAATCAAAGTTTACGTGTATTTTAAATGAGAAACCTTTATACGCTTTGAGTTAATATTAAGGGCTCAAATTTTCAGGGAATTCTTTTTTGAACATTTTCAACAAGATTTTGAGTTGGGAGCGAAAAAATAAAAATAGTCGTGAAAAAAAGCACCCTAATATTTATAGATCCTTAAAATAAAATGTCGCCCCTGAATATTAATACTCATATAGGTATGTGTGTCTACTTAAGTTGGCAACTTATGGGAAACTTAAGATTTGTAGATAAATAATGATTTACAACTTTGTTAACTAGTTCTTCTATAGTAAGTTGAAGAAAGTCTATATTTTTTATTTTTTTTCTTTTAGGTTAGTTTATTTTTTAATTCTCCTGTTTCACATGACCGTCGTATGTCCCTCGAGTAAAATCCAATATTTACGATCTTCTAAAAATTTAATTCAACTTTTAAGTAGCCAAAGAAAATTATATTGAACAAATGTTGGGTTTTTTGTGTTATAAAATTGTCTTAAGTAGCCATTATTGTTAATGTTTAGGCTAAAAATAATAACTAAACGTTGTCCCGACGTTTTCTTCACATGACCGTATAAGGACTTTTAGGTCTTCTATTTGCCGCTAGATGGTACTGCATGTGTGAATTAAAATATTTTATTATTGCAAATGGCGACAGTTAATTGTGCAGTTCAGTTAGCGATATATTTACAGTTCCTGTCGTGTATGTTTTTTTTTGTTGTCGGATGTTTACCGGTGGAAAATCTAACTCAAAATTCACAACATTTTGAGCAAATAAAAATGTGTGAAATCACATGAAATAAAAAAGTATGCGACGGTCATGTTAAAAATTTGTTTATTTTTTATTTAAAACCCTTCTAAGTTTTATTTTTATGCACATAAAGCACTTTCTTCATCATTCTGGCATATTTGACCAAGTTACCTAAAAGAAAAAGTCAGTTGAACTAAATCCGAAAAAATTTTTTTTTTCAAAATTAAAACAAAATCTTAAAAGATACTGAAAATTTAAAGGGTTATTTTTTAGTTCATTGTTACCTTAAAAAATGTTAATGGTTGAATAAAACTAATTGGTTAACAAACAAGTTTAAAAAACCGTTATTTTACTTAAATTTTGTTTAATTTACTTAGAATAACCACATATGCGACTTGGGCTATATTAAAACAAATTGCAACAAGCCATAATCGAATTACACACTTCTTTGGTAAAATTATCAGGCCCGAGAAGGAGAAGAGAATTAAGGTCGTGATGTGGGTGAATGAATGAATGAATGAAACGAAGCAGTCGTAGAGAAGAGGAAAACTGGCAAAGGTGTGGCGAATTTAAATTTAAAAGTACACTAAAGCTTATTTACATGCAATGTAATGTAACACAATACAATGTAGTTATAACTACAGAATGTTTCAACTCCTTTTTAGCATTCTAAAAATGCTTTAAATTTGGTATCTGTCAGATGTATTTTTAAGACTGATTTAAATCGTTTAATTTAATTTCCAGATTCTGATTAAATTTTGAAAAAAAAAAATTGGTCGGATTTAGTTCAACTGACTTTTTTTTAGGTAACTTGGTCAAATATGCCAGAATGATGAAGAAAGTGCTTTATGTGCATATAAATAAAAAAATTTAAGATGACCGTCGCATACTTTTTTTTTTCATGTGATTTCACACTTTTTTTTTTAAATTAAAAGTATTCCCATGTTGTGAATTTTAGGTAAGAGTTTCCACCGGTAAACAACCGACAACAAAAAAAACATAGCGAGCAATTTATAACTATTTATGTTGCTATTTTATCACTATAGACGGTCATGTAATTAAAAAAAAATTTGCAATAATAAAATATTTTAATTCACACATGCAGTACCATCTAGCGGAAAATAGACGACCTAAAAGTCCTTCTACGGTCATGTGAAGAAAACGTCGGGACAACGTTCAGTTATTATTTTTAGCCTAAACATTAACAATAACGGCTATTTAAGACAATTTTATAACACAAAAAACCCAACATTTGTTCAATATCATTTTCTTTGGCTACTTAAAAGTTGAATTAAATTTTTATAAGATATTGGATTTTGCTTGAGGGACATACGACGGTCATGTGAAACAGGAGTTTTAAAACCAAATTTAAAAAATAAATTCATAGGATATTGAACTTTTTGTATTATAAATCGATAAAAAATATGCCTGTCTAGTAAAATGTAAAAAAAAATGATGGCTAATAAACTGCGCACCAGTCAATGTGTCGCGACCAAAAATTTCGTCCTTTTTCAAAACGACATAACTTTTTTGTTTCTTGAACGATTTTATTTTGGTTTGTAATGTCTGCTAGCCCCATTCTCTGGAAATACATGCTATAGATATGAAGCTCACGGTTATTCAAATAAATTTCTTACAGGGTGATATGTAAAACGGTGAAAAATTTCAAAAACTTCATCCAAGCCCCGTTTGTAAAATAAATATTTTTTTCTCGGTTTTACTTTGAAATAATGAAGTATTATGTCTTACCTTGAAACGTTTTTCAAATTTTTCGAATTGAAATCTTAGCAACAAAAATATGATTTTTTTTTTCAATGGAGTACATTTGATGCTTTTTTGTAGGCAATACACTCAGCCTTTTTAAAAACAAAAAGATAAGATGGTGAAAGTTTGTTCCTTGAATAATTCTGAACAAGCGACAAGCAACAAACTTCCATTAATTTCAAAGGAACTTAAGCAAATACCACTTTTTCAAAATGACATTTTTTAGAAAATTTGCGAAAACTAAACCTGGACAGATATTTACGTTCGTGACATGTTTGCTTTATAATTTTGACCTCCTGATGTGATTCAGTTGTCAAATTTAAGTTTTAGATGAAACCAAAATCACCAAGAATTAAAATTCGAAAACAATTCCCGGCTGTTATAAATGTCTCAATAACATGCCTTTGCCAACGAAATTTGGGGATTCATTTTTTGTTTGAGTGGTTAGGATAATGTTACATAAATAACATTTATATTGCGCACTAGTGATAACTTATTACTGATAAGTACCTACCTAATTGGTAATAATGTTAAAAATACAAATTTTTTTTGTTTATTTTTGAAAATTTTATGCGAAGATATAATCATAATAAAAACTACAACATTCAACAGAAAAATATAACAAACAATAACAATAATAACTTTCAATATTTCGTTGGCCCTCCCCTAACCCGTAATAATTCGTTAACCCTCCTGAGCATTCCCTAGGCCAAGTTCCTTAGAAATTCCTGGGGTATAGCTTCCCATTCTTCCTAAATCGAATTTACCAATTCATCCAAATTTTCCATGCGTCCTTTCCTCTCTTTCATCTTCAGTTTCATCCTGCTCCACACATGCTCAATAGGATTCATATCCGGAGACAAAGGTGGCCAATTCATTCTCTCAATATCAAGGTCCCTTAAATACTCATTTACGATATAAGCGCGATGCGGACGGGCATTGTCGTCCACCAACACCAAATTATTGGCATTTAATTTTCATCATTTGATTCTTGATTTGATCATTCAGTGACATGATAATAACGTACTAAAAATGCAAAACACATTAAAAAAACAGTAAAATCCAGCAATCAGATTTTATTGAGACATTTAAATGTTAATTAACATCCAGGAATTGTTTTCGAATTTTGATTATTGGTGATTTTGGTTTTATCTGAAACCTAAATTTGACAACCGAATCACAATCAGGTCAAAATTATGAAGAAAACATGTCACGAACGTAAGTAAATATCGGTTCAGGTTTAGTTTTCAAAAATTTTCACTAAAATGTAATTTTGAAAAAGTGGTCTTTGCTTAGGTTCCTCTGAAAATAATGGAAGTTTGTTGCTTGTCGCTTGTTCAGAATTATTAAAGGAACAAACTTTCACCATCTTATCTTTTTGTTTTTAAAAAGGCTGAGTGTATTGCCTACAAAAAAGCATCAAATGTACTCCATTGAAAAAAAAAATCATATTTTTGTTGCTAAGATTTCAATTCGAAAAATTTGAAAAACGTTTCAAGGTAAGACATAATACTTCATTATTTCAAAGTAAAACCGAGAAAAAAATATTTATTTTACAAACGGGGCTTGGATGAAGTTA